TTGTGAATGGAAATGAGTAACACATGAGGGAGATAAATAAAAAAAAATAGGAGAATAAGTCGTTGTGTTAGCTATGGCTACCAGCCTACCACTACAACTCTCGGCTTTGCTCTTACCAAAATAAGACAAGATATAATAATGTTTCAAAAAAAGTCAAGAAATGATAATTTTTTTTTTAACACTGATAACAAGAAGTGTTCGAGATGGTACAAATAAAGAAACATAAAAGAACAAATGAGGATGTCATTAGACATCAGTAGTCAACGAAACAAAAGTGAAACTGAACTTCACCCAATCCCTTGTTGTTGAGCCTCCAAAGCGAGTAGGTGGTGGAGCCACGCGGGAACATTTTGGGCAATGTATGACTGGGAACGATTATCGCGAGTGACACTTATAGCAATTGCGTCCGCCGCTTCATTCCGTTCTGGGAGAACGTGATCCAAACTCCATGAATCTATCCTTGCGAGAAGAAAAGAGATATCATGACGAATATGGCTAAGATGGAGATGATCGCTTGTTTTTATAAGTGCGTCATGCAGGCTCTCCGAGGATGTCTCAAAGATAATATTCGAGAACTGTAGATTGTGCAAACATTCTACCGCCCAAAAAAGGGCCCACAAATCAGCCTCTGCTTTTGTGTGCATATATGAATAAACTCGACGACTGTGCATGATGGTACACCCATTTGCATCCCGAACAATCCATGAAGCACCACTAATATGATTAGATTCGATCCATGAGGAACCAACATTACATTCCAGGTACCCATTGAGTGGTTTTTTCCATCGAATCAGTTCACTTGAGCAAACATGAACTTCATCCTTTGTTCCTGTAAATAATAATTACAAGGGGATTTTTTTTTTTTTTGTAACTGAACAATGGGAAGTTGATAAACTAAAAATAATACAATACTCTTACCATGAAACTGTGAATGAGAGTTTGTGTTGTTTGTTAGGCAATAAAAGTAAAAGCACAACTGTGTGATGCCAAATTAATGGTAGCCCAATTAGTCCATGATCTTGCAATCGAAAACTGGAAATTCTGAGTAAATAACTCCTAGATTGTGATTTCGTTGCTATTTTTGCAAAGTTTGATTTTACCTTCATTTATTAATTCTCTCTAAAGAGCAAGGAAGGAAAAGAAGATTGGATATGTTGTTTCAAGTCGAATACATATCTATATTATTAAACCAGAATTCTTAATAGGATTCTACCATTAAATTTTGAGTTATTTACAATAGAATACCATTATCATTTAATTTTGACATAAATGTTTTTTATTTAAACTAAACAACTAAATATTCTCTATATTTATGGAAACTAATATTTTCCATATTTTATGAATAATAAGAATACTAATTTTTATACAAACTATACTCTCTATTTAATTTAAATATCATTTTCGTGCACAGTAGTATTTAAAGATTGAAAAAGAATGTATACATAAATATTTATCAAACAATTATTTACTATGTCATTTTATACGTAATATTGATATATCAAATTCAAGTATTTAAAAATATTTGAAATTTATGATAGAATTAAATTTTGGATCTAAAAAATATAATTTTATTATAGATGATTAATAACGAAAAGAAACTAATGTTGTCATATCAATAAATTTTGATTTGTATTACCATTGTTTTAATTTCTTTATATGACATAACAAAATTTTCAACAAAATATAAGGAATTATAAATTTTCAAATTTATATAATATTTAAAAGTATGAGCATTTAATCAAAAATTAAAAATATTAGAAGATTGTTTTGGATTTTTAGTGGATTAGCAGATATCGGATCATGGGTTAATAGTTGATTTTTAGATTTTTACCGATTTTTATCGAAAATTTAATTAACAAATTTGATGAAATCCAGATCGGATTATACTCAAATTTTCAAAGCTATCGGTTCAACCATGGGTTAGGATCGGATACGAAAATACTACTTAAAATCAAACACTATAAATTATAATTAACATTTTTTTTTGAAACACTAATAGAAGAATTTTCAATTGTTTATTTTCTAATATAGTTTATAAATTGGCATCAATTTAATAGATCTTTTTAAAACGCGGGTCAAAATCTAGTCGATACCATTAAACACACAAACATTCTCTTTAATGAATGATTTATTTTTTCACAAATTTATCCTTAATCTTATGAACAAATTTAATTTTCCATTAATGGCAATTTTGTCTTTTATTTTTAGGCTTAAAACTATACAATAATGGGTTTCATTAATGGACTCAGTTCACTTTCTAATTATTTCAGGATTTCCTTTAAAAATAAATACATCAACCTTAATTGGCGTAGTTAGAGTTGAGAATTTTGATATTTGCCCGCGGATCTCGCCATGTTTGACCCGCCATGAAACAGATCGACCGATTTGAAAAAAGTAAGTTGCGGGTGCGGGTCAAGTATATTTTACGCGGAACGGTGTGGATTTTTCAAATTTCAATTGCGGGTACTCGGTAATCCACAAAATAGAAAAACAATTTTGTTTTCAAAAGGTTTATTTTTCAAAATATACTAAATTTCTTAAAAATAATTATTATATTTTAAATATTAAAAATATACTATTTGATATTATTTTTTAGAAAAAAATTATTATTATTTTTATTATTTAATAATTATCCGCAGATCTCTCGGATTATCCGTAAAATTAATTGAGACGGATGCAGATAAAATATATTTTCTTTGCGGGTCAGGCATGTCAGGCAGGGCGAGTTTCACCCACTTCCCAACACTAAACGTAGTTAATTGAAATTATTTTCCCATAGTAAAACTACAAAATTAGATACAATACATTTACATATTGATGATAATAATAAATTAAAATCTGCATTAATTTTAAAAAGTTATATTAGATAGTGACATTTTATATCATCAAATCAAAAGACTTATCGATCTATCTGTAGATAAAACAACAAAACTGGTATCCGCGTTTTTTTAGCGCGGGTCAAAAATCTAGTATGTATATAAAGTAATTGTATCCAAACCCAAAGTACAATAGAACCTCTATAAATTAATACTCGATAAATTAATAATTTCTATAAATTAATAAATTTTATTAGTCTCAATTTGGATCAGATCAAAATTTGACATAAATCGATAAAATAATAAGATAATAATTTTAAAACAATTCTATGTAAATACATGGTCCCATTAAAATTATAAATTAATAATTATATGAATACATATTTTATAGAATTAAAATGTTGGTTTTATATTCACAATGAATTCTATTTATATTTTCTTAACACTTATTATATTTTTGATGAGATTTGATAAATATTATGTCTAAAACCATTTAGATTATGTGAAATGTATATTATATACGCAAAATAATATAAGAAAATTGATATAAATATAAATTTTTAAAAAAATTAATAATTAATATTTATTCAGTAAAGTCAAATATTTTCTTTATTTAATTTAAAAGAAAAAAATAAATAAGAAAGAAATTGTAAATTAATATCTCTATATTAATAAAATTTCATAGTCTCCATATTATTAATTTATAGAGATTTTATTGTATCTAAACTAATTATCATGCGTCAGTTCTATTTATATTTTCCAAATCTCCTATATATTATTTGAGAAATACTACAACATTTGAAGTATCCATGTGTTATCACCATAAAACTCTTTGAATCCTTTGAAAAAAAGATTTGTTCATATAAATATATAATAACTTTTTTATTAAACTAACCATAAATTAATTATTAATATTATTTATTCTTTCCATATATAAAATACGGAATTACCCAATGTAGCTAAAATATATATGATAATTAATGATTATAAATAATAAATATTTGAAAATAGTATATCTTCTATTATTTTTGTTGAATTTTAAAATAATAAATAAATTAAACAACTGCATTAATCATATAATAAAAATTATATTTTGTGTATATGTTATATGTTTAATAAGTATTAATATCGTTAAAATTAAAATACCATATAAAATAAAGAAAAATTTTAATTTCAAAATGTGCTTTGAATCATTTTTAATAAAGTTTTTGAACAAATACTGGCAACTTAATATTTAATTTTCAACTCTGCATTGAGTTAAAAAAAATTATATATAAATTATAAAAAAATATTAAAAATCCCACAATGATAGTTTTGTTATGAGTAATTTAAAGTTTTGTTACAAAAAAAACTACAATTGATCAAAAATCATAAGAGAAGAAAACATCATTTAATTGATATAAATATTAAAAATATATTACATATATGTATTAATATTATCTAAATTTAATTATATACGATATGAAATTGGAAAGAAAAATGTTTGTTTGGATTAATAAAATTTGTTTATGCGCTTGCACCAATTTAATAGTTACAATATTTAATTATTCACTATATATTATTATTTTATAATATATTAAAACATATAATATATAAAAATAATTGTATACACAATTTTCATTCCACGCAAAACACAGATCTTAATGTAGTGAGTTGATAAATCAATTTCATATTTTCGTATACTCTTATAAAGAAGTTACTCTGGAGTATTATTTTTTGTCACTAAATTTTCTTGTTACCGAATACTTTTTTTCATAATAAGTGTCAATTTAATCTTTTATCTTGTTGAAAAATGCATTTTACAAATAGTTTTATTTATCTCAATTATTATTGATCACAAAAGTATGATTAATAACCTCTTATATATTTTTACTATTTTTTTAATCTGTATGAAAAGTATCAAGGTGACATTTATTCATAACGTAATGAGTGTACAGTATTTTGGGGTACGTATGAAAAGAAGTAAAAACGTAGGTGATATGGATTTGGTAAAGGATATATAGCGTTAGGCGAAACAGATGCACATGTCATGTCTGAGGCGGACGTCTAGGGCCCCGCTTTTGCTGAAACCCAAGTTGATCTCCATCACTCCTCACATAAGAGCAGACATTTCTTTGACACGTGTTTAACTTCATCTCAAATAACTTTTTGACAACATTTAAAGTTGTTTTACTTGCATTAAAACAGATTTGACCATTTTGTATCACATGAAAAATAACATTTTCTAGGAAAAAACTGCAAAAATTGATCAAGAGCAATTGAAATAGTCAGTAATAGTCGTAAAAAAAGCTGATTTAAATTACTATACATAAGAGGACAAATAAACCACAAAAGAACCAGAATATTTTTTCACCAATTTCGCCTTTTCAATCTTTTCACTTTACGAGTGCAACTTGCTTTTCTACAAAATTATTCGCATAAAGTACAATTTCCAATTCCAAGAATAAATTCGAACGGCAAGTTGTCAAAGAGAAGAGAACATATCACATAAAGAGAATAAATTCGAGAATATACATATTTCCTTTAACAGATTTTTCGGTCTATGCTTATATTCGCCCCTTATTAATTTGGTTTAACAAACCCATTAGAAAATTTGAATATAGGAAAATAAGATGAAAAATATATATCCTAGCTATAAAAATTATTATTAACCAACGATCAATAACCTTCGATCTTCAGTAAACTAATTAAAAAAAAAAAGTATCCCAACATACCAACAACTTTTCAACTTTTCTTTTGATCCGTTCATGTTTCAAAGAACCAACAATACTATAAGTCCAAACCCGATCAGACCGGCCAGCTTCGCCACCGTAAAAGTTTTTCTGGCGGCCGCACCGAATTGCTCATCAACCGGGTAGAGATTTCCCGGTGGACCTGTTATGTACAAGAAATTAGCTGGGGGAGGCGGTGGACAGTTGGGTGAGACTTTCTTCGGCGGTGGAGGGAGAGCCGGCGGAGGAGGACATGCTGGAGGTGGTGGAGACGGTGGTGGAGGAGACGGCGGAGGAGGGTTTTGGACGCAGCTTGGAGAGCACTTTATGGGATCTACCTCGTCGAGCTTCCTCGTGTTGGCTACCGATGATGATGATGAAGCGTTAATGATTACTGGACACGTCAGCAACGTGATCATCATCGTGAAGATGCTGATTGTCACGTCGGATCCCCGGCGGTGATAACTTCCCGGCATGTTGTGATCGACTTTTTGGATATGATCAAGGAGAAAAATAAAAAGAAGAGTTTGTGGAGATTACGGTGAATGATAGTTATTATAGACTAAAGAGTGAGGAGGAGACGTGAAAATGAGAGGTGATGATGAATGCGTTCTCGATACGTAAGCCAAGTGCATGGGACTCATAGACTTATTAAATAGTGTAGACTAACTATTTCTATAATTAAATTTTAAATACTCTAGTGTGGTTGGTTAAGCCATACTCCTCGGTCCACTTGAAATTGGAATTTTCATGTGAGTGGGGTCTACATTAACAATTTTAATTACTTTTTTTTAACAATTTTAATTTTTCGTATTTAGGAAATTTCAGTTTGTGGAATTATTAGTGATCGATTAAAATCCCACCGTCGGATAATCTATTAATGTGTGAGGCACCCGCCTCTTTATTTCTATGAACTCTAAGAAAAAAAATTACCAAAAAGAAATGCTATGGAAATTTTTGTTTTATGGAACACATAAAATAGCTTTCCATGAAAATCTTGAGTTTTTGACACGAATCTCTACCTGGCAAATTTTGTATAAAGTTTTTGGACCTAATCCAAATGTTCCTCTTGCCCATGCGTAGAGACGGCACTAGTGTGAGGTAAATGTTTAAAAGTCATAATAATGTATGTAATTTTCTAATGCGTTTATCCATAATTAGTTCTCTTGAAAAAGTTCGTGATGTCAATGTTTTTTAACAAATATCGAAATGACTGAAAGTTCAATGGAAGCATATATGAAATATGCGAGTGCGTGTAGTTGCTTAAAGCGTAAGTGTTGCTTTTCAGTGGAAGTTTGCTTTAGCTGTTCAATTACATAAAGAGAAGATATCAGAAAATATTTGCGTACGAAAGAAAAAGATTTGATAATGCTTTCGTATGATTGAAGAATAATTCGTGACAGGAAATTTAACAGCGTAGACTATATTGTAAAGAATATATAAAATTATGTTACAGGAGAAAACTCGTTTTCGTGGCCGTGGAACATGCAAAGGAGAATCTGTGAGTCTATTAGTCCAAAAATTTGATATAAAAAGATCGGCAATGATTTGTAAACGGTACATTATTTAATGCCGGTTTCATAGAATACATGACAAAGTAAGATATGCACTAACCGGATATTGGTTATGCAAATAGCATCTCATCTATTAAAATAGATATCAAAAGATATTACTAAATATCTCTTCTACTATTGCATTTTGACAAAATCTTTTAATATTTTTTATTTAAAATATAGATATTTATTTTTTTACTAATTATTTTAGTAGTAAAAATTCATAATTATTTTAAATTTTATTACAAATAAATATTAATTAATTTTAAGTTGTAAAATAAAAAATATCATGGGGGATTTGCCAAAACCAACCTAAAATTTCATTTCAACCCTAAAGGTGTACCCCTTATTGAGTCAAATGCAAAACCAACCTAAAGGGGTTTTGAAGTTACTACTTGACCCTTGTGACCAAACAAAAAAACAGACAGTTATTTTACGGTTCTGTCCTTTGCAAGTCTACACATAATATAGAGAAGTCTACACATTTGTAGACCTTCATAGAAGTCTACTTTGTAGACGTATTCTACAGTCTACAAAGTCATTTGATCTTATAATTTAATTTTAAAAATGTATAAAAATAATTTTTGGGAAGTTTTTAAATAAATCATCAATATAAAGATTAGTATGAAATATATAAATTAAAATTTCATATAAGTGAAAAGTTTAAT